TGTCGATTTCAGTCTTTTCGGTTTTTGGGGGTGCAGGGGTGTGGGCACGACGAGGAGGTGGGGGTGGACTTGGAGCTGGCGCTCTTTCGAAACCTTATTTATTAGTTAGTAAGGGCAAACTATAATTATCGTGGGAATGTTAGTCAAACTTACCGTGATCAATATGACGATGATGTGTAATAATTTCTCGATGAATGGGTGGTGCTCGAATAATCTCTGGCGGTGGGGTTGGTGGGGGAGATGGTGATGGAGAAGGTTCTCTTTCTCTCTCTCTTTCAACAATTCGGGTGTGAATCCTCTCAACTTGTGGTGGTGGGGAAGGGGTTCTCTCTCTTTCTCTCTCACGCTCAATGATTCTCTCACGAATGCGAACTGGGGAAGGTGCTGGAGGAGATGGTGAACGCTCCCTGAATCTTTGTCTTGTCTCTATAACTCGTGCGCGAAGTTGTGGTGGGGGTGATGGAGATCTTGGGGTTTCCTTTTCTCTCTCAACAATACGTGTTCGGATTCTCTCAGCTGGTGGAGAAGGCTCTCGTACTCCAACCTCACTTCTTACAATTCTCTCACGAAATCGTGGAGGAGAAGGAGATCTTGCTCGTCGCACAAGTGGTCCGTCATTAAATGTGTCTCTTTCGCGCTCTCTTATGACCATTTGACCTGGCTCTGATCGCGTGTAATCATCTCGTAAGAAATCCAATGAACGTCTCCGAGGTCTTTCTGGACCTCTTCTGGTACTGAAGTCAATGGTCTCTTCATGATCACGCTCTCTTACTCGAACTTGAGCTGGTGGTGGAGCTGTGCCTCGATAATAAGTATCACGCTCATCAAATTCCGTCACTCGAGACGGGGCGCCATGTCGAGACATGTTTGGTTGCTTGTGTTGTTGATTGTGTGGTCGATAGACTTATTGAAAGCGTTTGTTTGTATTTGAAATGGTGTAAGATTTGATGATTTCGAGAATACAACAACGTATGTGAGATATGAATCAGTTGGGGTATCTACCAAAAGAGTAGATGGGGTAAGTGCTGGGTAGATGTGAAACCGAAGAAGCCAAGTGAGAGAAAAATCAGAAGAAGAAGAATGACGAGGCTGGAAGATGGACGGGATTTGTATAATGGACAATGATGGTGGTGGTGGTGGTGGTGGTGGTATGGACTGAAGGTAATGGAAATGAATAGATGGGATGACGAGCTACTGGAGGGGCTTGCGTCGGTTGGGCTGATTTGGGTATCTGGAATTGGCTCGTGAATAAAGTTGAAGAGATGTGCAAGGTGTGTAAGGTGCGCAGGGTGTGTGTGGTGGTGTAAGGTTTCGATTCGTAAATCCAATCCCAGTTGATTTGCCCCGGTGCCCAGCTTGGATGGTGATGTTTGACCGGTGTATAAATGAGATAAATAAGACTCAACAAGACAAGTCTTTAATCAAGGTGGGGAGGGTGAGCGGGAAAGAGATCTGTGGTGGGTGGGTGGATGGGTTGCAATTTGGGAAAAAATGACTGTGAAGTGGGATTTTCCTCTTTTCCTTGACTTTCCTCGATGGTTGTGAATCTAGAAGCGATAGAAAGCTGAAATTGTTGGTGGGGGATTCCGCATGTAATCCGTAATAAAAATTCCAATCAATCAATCAATCAATTCAATCTATTGAAGTTGTGAATACTTTGTTGTCACAGGTTGAAATATGGAGAAGACGATGGAAATATCCTCTTTTCTTATTCCGTCTTTTTCGGTTTTTTTCCCTCTCTCTCTCTCTCTCTTCTTCTTCCCTTTGCCCTTCTTTTCCAATCTTCTCTTCCCGCAACAAGATGTGAAGTATGAAATGTAAAAGCTGGTTGACTTCCTATATCATTTGATTGGCTGGGAAAGAATACTTGGACGGGGTAAATAATGAATATTCACACAATTGAATAGAGATCAAGGTCCCGGTCGTGTTACTCGGTCCAATTCAAGTCTGATGTAATTGTGCAGATATCCACACCCTGAAGGAAGGAGTGATACTTTGGAATTTGGAGTAGTTTGGAGGTGGAATGGATTGGGTGGTTAAAATGGTAAATAACAACCACACGTCTAGGGTAGATGATTCGAGGAAAAGAAATTCGAAAAGAGATGGAAAGAAATTCGTATCGACTCGTGATATTCGTGATAACGCATGCAAAAACAAGATCGAAAATAAAAACAAGAGGTCGGTCAATGAGAAAGTATATTATGGATAGGGTAAGGTTGTTCCTTGAGTTGAGTACAATCGTTGGTTGGGTTGATGACTGTGGTTTGAGCCCAAAGTTCCTGGTGCTTTCTGACACCAAGTAACTCGAGGTGGTAGCAGGGAGAGGGAGGACGAGGACGAGGACGAGGAGGACGAGTGGTATGGAGAAGAAAAGCCAGGGAAGGAAAAGGTCATGAAGTTAATAAGACCGTCACATCAGAGAGATAGTTTTCATTCATTATAGTAAGCTTCAAGATGGGTCTGTTGGTCACTGACAGCGGCTCTACTTCCTGGCTAGAGAGGGAGGAGGTCGACTGAGAGGTCTAGTGAGCCGCCCTTCAAACCGTCCTTCAACAGCCTGCTTCCAATCTCCAATCCCAAAATGATCCAAAATAGAAGATTATTATTTGTCGCTGCTAAAATTGTGGAATTTTGGATCGAGGGGTGCAAAAGCGCTGCGCTTGAAAACCGAATTAGGTGAACATAATTGCCGCCAACATCACATCTAATTGAGGATATCTCCTATTTGAATGGTGGATAAATCCTACAACAACAGTTTTATCTTTTTACTTGCATGAACATTCCTTCGTCAGTACTTAGCTCAGAAAAGGCGTTTCAGTCCGTAGTTTGGTTGGTAGTGAAGAGAGAAAAGAGAGGCTGAGCTTCTGTTTAGACTCATGAACCATTTGTTGGTCTGGCGACCTGGGCACTCCCGCAGCGGACCACCCGTTGGACTCAGTATTGTACTGACTGGAAACTTGGAGTGGAGTACAAAAGGTTCAATTGTTGGTTACAGATACCGCCAAGGTATGGTAAATAAATAAAAAGTCCCGAGGTCTCCTCTTTACACATATGAGCCACAAACCATAGCCTACTTGCAATTTCCATCTATCGACAGCAACATCAGAGTCATAGATGGGGAGTGTTGCCTTCTCCGCTGAGGATTTGGGTTGTATCCAACGGTAAGCATTCAGTATCTACCTAGGGACAACTAGTGAGAAACATTGGCTGACTTTTTGATTCATTGACTTTTGAGTCGTATGTCTCTTCTTCTTCTCTCGTGCTCGGTTCTTGTGATAGCAGAGTGTGATGTGATGTTGACGGATTCGGGTGGGGTCTAGAATTCAAATATACTTGGTTTCGTCGCTTGCTGACCATGAGAATGAGAAGAGATGACCGCTCTCTACTTCAGATGAAAGTCAAGATTTTGTCTTGAGTGTTGCAATTTTATTTTGGAGTTTTCTTTTGTCGACATGAAACATTTATCCTCATGACTTGAATACTTTTGGTGCCGTCGAACGGAGAGTTGGCTCAGAGGCTAGGTTCTTCATAAACTTTGAGGTTACACCTGCCGAGTAGGAGTACTTTGCTTGAACGTAACTTTTTGAATTTGAGATTCGCCAGCTAGATTGGATTGAATACCTGGCACAGTACTCAAGATACCTACACACACATTGACTTGTATGACAGAGGGTCGAATACGATTGGAAGCTGTAAGGCTCAATAACGGTAATTGGGGTACTGAGGCTCCGTTGATATATCTGGAGCCTAGCGATAACTTGGCTTGCAGCAGAGGAGATGGACGGATCATCGTTAGGAGTTCACTGTGCATAATAGGTAGGGGTACTAGGCAGGTAGCTCTTGAGGAAGAATCAAGTTGGTAAATTGACAAGTTAATGAGCAATGAGCCATTTAAGAAGATCATGATCTTCTATTGCGGTTCCATGACAGAAGTATCCATAAAGGGGTAAGTGGAAGAAAGTAGGAGGTATCTACTAGGTAGGTATGGATTATCGAATAGATTCAAAATCGATCAAAGCAATCCTCGACATATTGAAAGCCCTTTCTTCTCGAATCTGGAAGCGTAAAAGACTGTTGAGATTCCAAATACGAAGCAGGACATTGAAGATCTTTATGAAGAAAGAAGCCAAGATTAAAAGGTTAGATGATTGTCGAAACTTTAGCCTGCAAGTTCTTTGGATTGGTAACCATCAAGGACAGTCTACCCTCGAACTATCTAGACACTCGAGTATATATGAAAATGATTAAGTTTTTTTCTTTTTTTTTTCTTGCTAATCCATCTGTCAAAGCTAAAGTAGGTAGGTAGGTACTAAGTTTTTTGACAAGATAAACAAACTACTTACTAGTATCTACCGGTAGAGATAGCACCTAATCCGTTCAAGATATACCCCTCCATACCTCTCTAATACTAGTCGATTTACCTACCGCTATAGACTTTTTCCGACTTTTGAGATCTAACTGCCCTCCGATCAAAGCTTGAAATAGGAAGCTTCGACTATATGTGACGAGACCGTATTATTAGATCCTTTGAAGATCGGGCTGATGGGTATCGAGCTGAAGATCTACTAACATTGGCAGATGTTGGGTTGGCATTACAAGTACCCAACAGTAGAACCTGAAATAGGAACCCCCCCATAAGGCTGCCCCTCTATTGTACGATGTGGTAGAATATTGTGATGCGAGATAAAATCGGGGATTTGGATGGATGAATTACGATAGAGTGGATTGATTTGTTATAGTGTTGTGAAATGGTAGCAGGTGTTCGCTTTTTCGACAAACTTATCTACCTACCTAGGTAGAGGGGCTGCTGTGCTACGAGTTATGAGTATCGGATGGATGGACTACCCACAATATCAATGATGAATTGGGAATGAATTGGAGTGAATGACGAATTGAATAAATGTAGTAGATGAATTGGTTCCAACCTTTCCATCTATGCATCTATGCATCCATCTACTACAGTTCTCATTCGGTAAGTAGACTAGAGGGACCTAGGTAGATCAAGTGGCTCCATCTTCATCTTCATCTCCATCTTCGTCTTCATCTTCATCTTCATCTTCATCTTCATCTCCATCTCCATCTCCATCTCCATCTCCATCTCCATCTCCATCTCCATCTCCATCTCCATCTCCATCTCCATCTCCATCTCCATCTCCATCTCCATCTCCATCTTCATCTTCATCTCCATCTCCATCTTCATCTCCAGTTTCCCCTCGCCCCCTCCCCGCCCTGGTGGTCCCTCTCTCTAATCGATAAGAGTGTTCCTGCATTCGTTTGGTGGGGTTTGTCTCTCAACCCAAACCCTAACCAGCAACGCGACCGTACTAGAAAAGGTTAATCACTAGCTAGAGACCTACTATAATTCCCTACTAATCTCTAAATCACCCCAAAACTCCACTACAACTCCACAACTCTCTATGTCATCGACTCAACTCTCTCGATAATTTTCCTTCATCTCGAATCTCAAAACTCTAGATCATCTCAATATCTTCAATCTTTTCGCCCCATCTCTCCCTTCTTTTCTTTCCTTCATATTCCTTCTTTTTCAGTTTTCTTGAAAATACATAATGTTCTATTAATTGGTAACTTGTACTACAAAAACATACGGCTTCCCACCTACCGTATGGTCTCGCGGGTAATCGCATAAATTACCTACCAACTGTTTTGAAAAGCATTTCAGTGCATTGCACTTTTCAACAAATTCTCCGACACATTAGGGAGTCCCGCATTCACCATGACACAGCAATCTTCATCGCCTGCTGATTCTCTTGCAGCCATTGCAACTCTTACGGATGAGATAACCCTCCAGCAGGTTTATCTGGTTTCCTTGAACGATTCCTCGGGAGATCAATCGGCGCGCAAAGCAGAAATCGAGGCTGAGATTGCCATTCTGAAAAGGGAACTTTCCACCCTTCATGCTTCCTCCGCTCACGCTCAAGCATCTTCTACTTCTTACAATAACTCCTACATACGCCCATCCGATATAACTCGTTCGAAAATGAATAGCGCGGTCGGGCGAGGAAGCAATGCTGCCTATCAATGTTGGTCTCCTCACCCTGATTCATTTCCTTCAGATACGAGGCTACGGAAATCGTATTCACTCCGTTTCCTCATCCGCCTTCGAAGTTTTTTCTCCTAGTGTTGAGAAAAAGTTTCTACATTTTGTTCATACTTCTCTCAAGATCGCAACCCAAATTTGACAATCAAAACTAACTTCCCTGTAGTCAAAGAAGAAGGCGAGCCAATGGGATCATTGTCCTCCACAGCTTCAACACCTGGCTCTAGAGCCTCGATGGTTGGTTCTGGCCCACATCGAGCTGACCTTCCTACTCGAAAGCGTACTCTTAGCAAACATTTAGATACGACTTTCCCTTTCGAAAAAATCAAATCTCGGCGAACAACACCGAGTCCTTTTGCGACAGGTGCAACAACTCCTTCGGGAAGCTCAGGGTATGGTTTTAATGCAGATGGTGATGGATACTTTGACCTCACTATGTTCGTCCCTCAATCTATCATCAAAAATTGATCCCATAGTTCCTTCGTCAATGTTCAACCAGAAGTGAACGCATATGCTAATTTTTCTAACTCTTAGGGACGATGACATGATCATGTTCGATCCCACCTTTACCGAACGTCAGAAGCAGGAAGTACAAAAATTTGAAAGGGAGAGGCAAGATGCAGAGTTTGCTAATAGCCTTGCAAACTCAAATAGCCCCGTCTCCAACACACCAATCGCTAGCTCCAAGCCTTCCGCTTTCAGTAGGTTGTTCGGAGGTCATTCGGGAAGCGTCTCACAAGCTTCTGCCTCTCGCGACATTCAAACTGCCAAGTCCTCCGCGATGTCAAACACTTGCAGCATTCATAACAGCGGTTCCTCAAGTAGAAGTCTTCCATGGAAAAAGGGGTCAAGTGCTAGTTTCACGGACGGACCACAAACATCGCCTTATGCTCAACCTTCACCGTCAGGGTTCGTTAGCTGGGGTTCTGGTGGCACTACAGTCAATGCCGAACCACGAACATCTTCTTATGCTCAGCCTTCACCTTCGGGGTTCGTTGGCTGGGGTTCTGGCGATACTTCAGGTATGCACCAGGAACGATCTTTTACTGCTACGAACTCCAATCTTATGCCATTTCCAGAATTGACGATGCCTGGTACCTACATTGATGATGCGGCTAGTGATTCGTCGCTTGAAATCATCGACCCTTCCGCTTTCAAGGATAACGGTCGTCAGAAAGCCACAACTTCGAGGACTACCCACTATTATGGTCATCCAGGTCCAATTTATTCATCAGAAACCCGCGCTTTGGGAGATATTGCTATTGGTCGTTCAAACACCAGCTTACAGGGTGTTGCATCTTTGCCTAGTTGGGCAGAAAACTCTCCAAGTGTGATGGGAAATCCAAATGGAAATATCAGTGATGCCTCGGCTTGGATGACAGGAAATGATGCTATTGGAATGAATCATGAAAGTCGAGTAGGAGAGCAGAATAGTCATTCAGCCCCGTGGCAGAGAGATCAACCATTTAGTCCCTACAATGGAATCAACTCTGACTACAAAGATTTTCCCATGAATGGCACACCTTCTGCCATGGCTTACGATAACACAAACCCTTCTGATGCATACCTCATCGGTTACTCCCGTTCAACAATGCCTCTGACTGTTCCAGGATCAGTAACTGGAAGTATGCATATTTCTCATCCACAAAACAGCATGCATGGGCCAGGCCCGGGTTTCAACATCGATTCTATGTCAGGACACAGTATGGGTTCAACTAATTTTAATTCCTTACGAGGCATGGTTAGAATTAGAGGCAATATTTCAGACGTTGAATCGAATCTTGGCTTTCCATCTCCCTCGTTCGCGTATACCCCTCAGATGACAGAACGAATGGAACATGTCATCAATGATCCTAGAAAAACTGAACAAGAGATCAAAGATCTGTTGGATAATATCAAAGCCGAGATTGAGATTCCGTTAGAAGACCGAGAGGGAACACCTGAAGGATTGAGATATCCGTTGGTTAGTTGAGAGCCAGTTCGATTAGATTTTGTGACGATTTTTTGCTAACTCGTAATCAGTATGAGCACCAAAAAATTGCTTTAACATGGTTGAAACAAATGGAGGAGGGCAGTAACAAGGGGGGTATCTTAGCAGATGATATGGGTCTAGGCAAGACAATCAGTACTTTGTCACTTATTTTGTCACGACCGTCAACCGACCGCACGTGCAAGGTATGTTTTCTTCGACGATATGACATTACTGTCTTCTGATATTATCTAGACTACACTTATCGTCGCGCCTGTTGCACTTCTTCGCCAGTGGAATGGCGAAATAGTTTCGAAGACATTGCCGACGCATAAACCCAGCATCTACATGGCTCATGGAAACAAGAGAGCTACTTGGGATGATCTCCGACAATATGATGTAGTCCTTACAACTTACGGGACTTTGGCTGCGGAGTACAATCGGCTTTTAAAATTCGAAGAAGAATGCAGACAAAACGGTATCACGGATCCTGACCCAAAACACATGGCCAAGGATTTCCCGCTTTTGGGTCCTAAGAGCAGATTTTATCGTGTGATTCTCGATGAAGCACAGAGCATCAAGAACAAAGCCACCAAATCAGCCGCTTCGGCTTGTAGACTAAGAGCGCTGACTAGATTTTGCCTTACCGGCACACCAATGATGAACAACATTACCGAGCTTTATTCGTTGATCAAATTTCTGCGCATTCGACCTTACAGCAATTGGTCTGCCTTTATAAAGGTATGTGTATCCAGTATATCTTATTTATGAAGAAACTACTTTGCTAACAACGATAGGATTTCGGCTGCCTCTCTAAAGGAGGTTCACATTCAGAAGAATATCTCAAAAAGACCATGCAACGTCTACAAGGTGTGCTGAAGGCGATTCTACTCCGTCGGACGAAGAAATCTCAAATTGATGGAAAACCGATTATCAACTTACCACCAAGATATGAACATATTGATCATGTTGTTTTTAGCAAAGACGAGCAGGAATTTTATCAAGCTCTTAAGGATAAGACTCAACTTCAATTCAACAAGTACAGAAAGGCTGGAACGGTTGGAAAGAATTACTCAAATATCCTTGTTTTGCTACTTCGTCTTAGACAATGTTGTTGCCATCCGCATCTGATTATTGATCTTGAAGAAGCCGCAGCGGGCTCGGCAGAGCTCACAGAGGAACAGATGATTGATCGCGCATTAGCCCTTGAACCAGATGTTGTCTCGAGACTACTTGCTGCAGATGGAGGATTCGAAGTAAGTTTATTAGTATGTATTTTGAATTATCTTTACTAATATTCCAAGTGTAATATCTGCTACGATGCAACTCCGAATCCCAGTATCATCATCCCTTGTGGACACGATAATTGTCACGATTGTTTGATGGCGTTATCCGAGCAGGCCAAGCAGGCCGCGCGAGGCGATGATGATGGCGCCCCGGCCCTCAAATGTCCGAGTTGTCGTGGAAAGCTCGACATGGCGAATCTTATCGACTACAGAATTTTCAAGAAGGCATATATGCCATCGTCGGAAGTCAAGGAGGAAGAGATTGTCGACGATGCCGTTGAAAGTAGTGATGACAGTAACAGCGACACCGAATCCGAATCCGAATCCGACTCTGATACCATATCTGATGATGTTGACGAAAATGGAAATTTAGACGGTTTTGTAGTCCCTGATGAGATTGAGGATGATGAAGCTGAGCAAGGTGACGATGAAATTGATTTAGCATCGAGGGTTCCTAAGTCCAATTCAAAGTCCAATCCAACATCGAAGTCCAAATCTAAGACAAAGGCAAAGGAAAATAAGGGCAAAGGAAAGGAGGTTGAAAAGCAGAAGCAACATCTTTCAATTGCCATGATGAAGAAAGAGGCTTCTAGATCTATTGCGGGTCATAAGAAGTACATGAGATATCTTCGAAAGAATTGGCAATCATCTGGAAAAGCCGACAAATGCGTCGAACTTCTTGAAAATTTCCAAAACGAAGGTGAAAAGACAATTATCTTCAGTCAGTTTGTGACATTTCTCGACCTCCTCCAGGTGCCCATCGGAGAGAAGGGTTGGAAGTGCGAGCGCTACGATGGAAGTATGAATTCCAAACGTCGAGACGAGGCAATCAAGCGATTCCAGGACAAATCGGATTGTAATATCATGCTCATTTCTCTCAAGGCCGGTAATGCAGGACTCAACCTAACCGCAGCATCTCGAGTTATTATTCTCGACCCATTCTGGAATCCATTCATTGAGATGCAAGCAGTCGATCGTGCTTATCGCATTGGTCAGATGAAAACAGTTCAGGTTCATCGTATTTTAGTACAAGAAACAGTTGAGGATCGTATCATGGAGTTACAACAACAGAAAAAGAGCTTGGTAGAGTCCGCACTTGACGAAGGTGCTATGAAGAGCGTAGGGAGACTTGATGAGAAGCAACTGGCTTTTCTTTTCGGTGTCTGATACATTCGAATACGCTTTTCTCGACTCTCATACGTGCTCAATCGCTTTTTTGAAATGGGTTGTATAATAATTATGAGGCGTTTTGAGAAACTCACGATTACGATTTGGCTGGTCCCATTCCTTTCTTTGCACACATTGGCATGACAAGCAGAATAAAACATTGCGAAATCTTGGGCTGGGTTGGAACGAAATGGGATGGGATGGGATGGGATGGGATAGATAGTTTTGTGCATTGCATGGGGGAAAATGTGGTCTGGGATTGTTCTTTTGTTTGCTCGCTTTTGTCGGATATTGATACCCTATCACCATGGCGTTTTTTCAAAGGGTCTGGATGGATGGAATTACGATGTATTACGAGCGGTGGGAAATGAATTCAGCATGTTCTATTTTTCACAACATCTGTGATCTTGTTAATTTCTTTAGTTTGTTAAAGGGAGTTGTTGACGAGGTGCGTAAAATTAGTGGGGGTTGGGATTAGATCGGTGATGGAGATGTGTATTAGTGTGGTTGAGAGCTGGAGTTGGAGGGGAGAAGTCTGAGAAACTGGAGATGAGATACTAGATTAAGGATGAAGGATTCATAGATGGCTGTTTTTAGATTCTGCTCGGGTAGGGAAGAGAGGGGAAGAGAGGGGAAGAGAGGGGAAGAGAGGGGAAGAGAGGGGAAGAGAGGGGAAGCGAGGGGAAGCGAGGGGAAGAGGGGACAGAAAATAAGAGATACAGTACAGTACAATACAATACAATGCATACAAATAGTCACGCGCATACTACAGTCGTATATCACAGCGATAAATGTGATTAGATGACGTAGGATTTCGTTCTCTTGTTGACTTTATTCGATTCGACGTCTTGAGTTGTGCTGTTATATGATATACTAGGTAATTAGCAACTCGAACTAAAAATTAGAAGATGTAGCATGCAACTTGGACGATCAGATTACCTAGATTGGGTAGCGTAGGCCATAGGATACCTGGGTAAACTCCAAGCAAGCTTCCAGTTAGCAATCAAGGTCAGATCATACATCATACATCATACTTTCTTGTGTTTGTTTGATGGAAGTATATATTAGAACTTTTGTCTATCTATGTGCATGCCAATTTCATTTCATTTCATTTCATTGTAGATAGATAGGCAGGTAGATAGGTAGGTGGGTAGCTTAGGTACTCAACTCAACTCAACCACTAACCCATCCATCCGTCTGTCTATTCAACAATCATATTACATTAACCCCATCATTAATCGAAAAGATCTTCTTTTCTTCTCCCCTCCACCCTTCTCTTGTTTGCCCGCCTTCCTTCCTTTCCTCATCCCCCTTCCCTCGCCTCACCGCACTTCACTACACCATTACCACCCTTCCGAATACCCCTCGAATATCCATCCACACACCTTTCGTTCCCATCCCCGAAGCGAGCCCCATTCCCAAGAGAAACTCATAAAAGCAAGAAAAGAGAATAAGTAAACGCCATGAAGAATCCTCCTTTCCCCTGTCTCCCAAAAATAAAATATGATACGCATACATAGGGTATAATGCATTTGACCATCCCAAACCAACCCATCCCATCCGACCATCCATCCATTCTTCCAGACTGCTGTAGCTAGCTAATTATTCATTTACTTAGTTAGCCATTATGAACAACAACACATGCAGATATCAATATAAAATGCAAAAAATTAGCAGCAACCAGATCAAGAAGTCCTCCAGCTTCAGCAGATGAAAGAGTAGGGATCCATTCTGTTCTTTCCTGTCTTCTTTCTTTTCGTTTCCGTTTCGCTCCTTCCAAGTCGTAGTACGTATGGTGACGAAATAGGAACAATACGATATGCGTAGAAGGTAAGCAATTGAGCATATATGCATGTAGCTGAATGACCTTAGTCCAAAAATTGAAGATGCACATCATCTGTATATGTGGACGCAAAAGTGCTGTAACGCCACGATAACGCCATTTCGAGTGTTTGAAAAAGCTAATCATTGCTGTCGATTTGATACGGTTGAAGTTACTGCGCCTACAATTTTTGCGCCAACTTCGAACACCCATTGCTCATGCTGATTCCCACGCTGATCCCAATGCTGATTTCCATGCTGCTAGTGTCGAGTATAATTGTTGTGTATTCCAGAGTTTGTGTGGCCATGAATGTCTTCCGGAAGTGTGGTATAGTGTAGTCGTCTCAAAAGGACAACAGAAATATTAGACATCTATTCACATGCATGTTTATAATGCTCAGATGAGGAAAGAATAGAATCCCATTGCGCCAAATAGCGACAAGATTCCGAAATCTAATCTTGCTACCGGAATCGCAAAAGATTTGCTAGGACTAGGTGTAGCAGTGGCAGTGAAAAGACCTGTGAGAATTTCTGTAGTGGTGGTAACCGAGGCAGGCTTAGCAGTTCCAGAACCTGATGATGTTATAGTACTAGTAGGAGCACTGTAATCTGAGGAATCACTATAAAGTACTCCATCGATAATCGCCCCCTTCCCAGCAATGATCATCTGACGTTCATCTTCCGTACATGTTCCGGGAATATTGCGAAGGTAGCATGTATTTGTTGGGGATGGTGGGAGACTTGTAGTATGAGTGGCATTCAGGGGACCAGTGGTATTGTAGACTGATGAATTGATGGTTTCTCCCGTTGAGAGAGAGGTGCCCATTATGATTCGGGCAAAAACTTGGAAAGCGGTCTCGGGTTGGTAGGCCGGGATACTGTGACCTGCGTCGTATATGCGACTGAAGGAGAGATTTCCAAATTGTCTCACAACACCCCCAATATAAGAATTATTAGTTATGATAGGAGCGTAGCCAGCGGCTGGAAACTTGGAGGCATATTCAGAAGAAACCTGTTTTGCAACAGCTAAAGATATAGCTTCGCCACCAAGCCAATTACAAATGTAATCCCTATCACCGTACATCAACCCAACATGAATTCCAGAATTTACGAGCGCAGCTATTTCTGGCACGTAAGATTTACGCTCGTAGTCGCCGGTGGATGTGAAAGCAGCAACAACTTGCAGATTTGTCTCGGTGTAATTGACTGGTGAACCAATAGCAGATTGAAATTCAGCAGTATTGAGATACTCAAGGTATGTACTTGGTGGAAATGAATCAGGAAGATTATGGGAAATATCGTACACACTTCTTCCAGCGTCATAATATGGTTCCAGCACGTTCGTTAAACAACTGTTATATGCATTGGAACAAGCACTGTTAACACTTGAGACATTGCCCTCATTTGTAGGGTCCTGACTTTCTACAGCGGTTCGACATTGTGTAATTAGGTCCTTGCAGCCGCCAGAAGCGTAAAAGTTGGCAGTCGCCAATTTTGCCCTTGTAGGATTGATAGCACTGAGGCCGAAGGTATTATTGACAGCAAAATTAGGATAATAAGGGGCTTGAATCAAGTCATCCACACAACCATTGACTATTCCTAGTGATTTAAGTTTGATGTCAATGGTTGTGCTTTGAGATAACGTGCCGTTTGCACGCTTCTCGTTCTGCTTTTCCCAAAGGGTTGCGAAAGATGGGCCATATTTTCCGCCATAACTCTCTGCGAACAAGTGAACGTTCACAGCAGAACTGTTACTTGGAGCATATTGTGGAAAGGCACCAAGGAATCCTTGAAGCATGTGCCATATGGCCATCCCTGCTATCTCAGTAGTATTGGCCGTATTATTGACATTCAGGGAGCTAAACGTTCCATTTAAAAATGTATCCGCCGGCTGCGAATTTGGGAGAGTCTGCTGTGGAGTATATAGATCGGACGTGAGAAGGTCGAGAGAGCAATTAGTAGGCGTATCATATGAAAATCCAACTTGGTTGGGCTACAGATGTAAACGTCAGCTTGTGGAAGTAGGTATGGCGCGTTCATGAGCAGAACAGTGGCATTTGGCTAACATTCTCGTGAACAACTGGACAGTGTAAAGCCTAGTAAACTGGAACGGATGTCCATGTATTCCAATTGAGATCGAGTATCTCGATTGGTACAAGATAACCTCGAGAGGTGCGCATTGAAAGAACCACCAAGCAGAGAAACAAACTTAAGATGCTGCATACCTGATCAATATATAGCATATTGGAAGCTCTATCCCAGCCCCAATCCCTAGCTTCCGTCGCAAACTTCCCCTGTGCTACTTCAATAACCTCACAAGGACCATTTTCATTGAAAAGTCCAATCATCGAGCTAGAGCCTGGCCCTCCATTTAACCATATCGTAAGTTGATCTGTCGGATCTCTCGCAGAGATAAACCAAAAGAATGTGTTCGTCGCATAACTGCCCGGTATATTAACCCAACCTGTATATTGTTCTTGAGAATCGAAAACCGTCTGGCAGGTGCCTGTTGGTGGTGTTTTGTAAGAGATGGTGATATTCCCATCGACTGGGGACGTTATTCTCGTGAGGTTTGAAATAGGTGGATATTGAGCGAATGTGAGGGGCAGAAGCACCGAAAGAAAGAAGGAGTAACGCATGATGGTTCACTCATGTTTTGACCAAGATCGGAGGAAAGAGAGTCGAATAAATGAAAGTCTTCAAGTGAAGTTGTTGATTCTACGGTAATCCTACGAGAAAATGTATTGGCTTAGCCCCCAAGCGACGTCTTCATGCAAGGGTCAAAGGCTGCTGTGCCTCGTATCTTTTGTGGTTTTTGATGAAATTTTACAATTATTCATCGACGATCGCTTTTTATCACGTTGTTCTTTCATCAATTCAGTTGATAAGAATAACAATATAATGTGAGGCAATATTGAGAGGTGTATAAATCGAAGAGACTCGAGAAGCATTATATGCATTGTCACATTCTCAAACGCGCGCGCATTCTTCTCCAAAATTCATTCCTTCTTCAACAATTTGCGCGCCAGTTACGAGTCAATTCTTTATTTAGCTTTTCCCCTCCTTAACGGTTGATGTACGAAATACTTAGTAAGAACCTGTGTACGATGGTGGATGGACAAGCTAACCTTAGTATGATTGTTACGGACTCCGGAGAGAAGAGAGATCAAGAGAGCCACCCATTTCTCTCCGCTTGTGGGTGGTCCTGCATTGTACTTTGGTGGTGCCACATCTCTTTCTGCTCTCTTAATTGGATGTGTGGATTGATCAGCTCCAAGACCGTTGACTATTGGATCTGGATCGATGGCTATAATCAATGCTTTGCAACGCTTGATAAGTGCACCCTTAGGTCTTTCGCGAAGAATTGATGTACACTTCATTGGGGTCACTAGGAAGTCGAAAATACAAAGTGGTTGATAATATAACAGAAGCATGCTATATTGCCAAGTTCATTGCAATCACTTGGATCAATCACGACCCGATTTTGGGTTTACAAGCCTCCACCGATCTCTTAGCATACAGTCATGTGTGAGCACAGCTCTTTGCAACACTCTGCCACTATCTCAAGGAGGGCTCAACACTTTCAATAAGCTGCAATCTAGTTTCTAGCTCTATCAACGATCAGAGTTTCAGAGTTTCAGAGTCTTGTTCTGATAGATAAGGCACAAATCATGGGTCACCCAGTCCCGTCCCGCCCGCTGTCCACTATTGAATGTCGTTACTCGGATCAGGCCCGTACTTGTGATTTGTGGTCTTTGAGGTAATTACATCTCTATATTGACATGCCTTTCTTTTTGTATGTATATGCTAGTCTCAGCTATCAATGGCGGTGTCTGCCTTCCCATGCAGGCGATAAGATCTTTCATTATACATCTTAGTTTCGTGTGGAGACAAATTCTTGTGAAGAATAGAGCATGGCACTAATTACTGGGTAGTTCCAGGGGAATGGGGTTTCTGGAACTTAAAGTGATAGTTTTGATCTAGTCAAATGTTGTCTAGTATGTCTTCAAATTAGTAGCCTCAGCATATTCTCACCAGCCATTACCTTTTGCTTGCACACAATTGGTGATGTATATATGTAAGACATGGCGATGTGAACACAATCAATCCTCAAGACGAATTGCATGTTCAGCTAGCGCCGTAACTTATTCACGTCTTCCTTCTGAAGCTTTACAAGTCAACAACTGGGTGCTAGACTTGATTGACGGTATGATAATTTGCATTTTAAGTTCTTCATTGTGTTCTTTTTGCTTCAGAGTATCTCGTTTTGAGGAAAAATTGGGAGAACTTGACATGTTCGAGTGTCTCCAAAGCGTGATGGTCCCGTCGATGAAAACCTCTTATGGTCATCTATGCAGATTGCTTTCTGGCCCACCGACGAGATGATTTCTTTCGTATCATCATCAATTGTTTGAGTTATCTTTCAGAAGATGATTCACGACCCTCAAAGGCAATGATATCGAAGCTGCTGTCGCTACGTCATTAGAGGTGCTGTCAGTCATAAGGGTGACATTTATACAAGACCCTGGCAATATCATGTGAGGGGCTCATGATGCCCAGTCGAGGTCTTCTCATACTCTAAGATCTAATGGATAGCTCGAGCGATTGGCTTTGAAAGAGAACATTGGATTTCTATTTGGTTGTCAACACTACCTGGTCGGAAAGTAAATTCTTACGTCTGAAGTAACTACCGAGGGGATCGAACAAATCCTCGAGCTTTGGATTATCGATTCAGTCATGAACAATCCGAATTACATATTTTGAACCACTGGAGTCATCTCTATGAGATTTAAATTGACTATGAGTCCAGCCAAAACGAGTCGCAATACTCATATGACTGATTCGCTGATCGTGGACTCATCACGGCGTAAGTCTTGTTTTTTTGTCTATTTATTTTGGTCCATGTTCCGTTCTCTTCATAGTTTCATTCTTTGCCAGCATCTATTCAGCAAGCACCTTTTGGTAAGTAAGCTTCTTCGCCCCGTATTTTCGATGGAGTAGAGAACTGAACTTGTTAGAAAAATCACAGCACAGCACAGCATCCCACGCAATACAAACGCTGCACTCAGAAATTCCTATTCTAGCCCGGCGACGGATTGGATCAATACAATATCTTAAATCGATACTCCCCGATATAAATTATACATCAACGCCATATCTGAACTAGTCAGCCTACTCTTCCACGACTCCTTGGAAATATAGTGCCATCACACTGTTTTCAGCGCTGCTTCGCTCTCTATATCCATATTCTCACACTGCAAGATCTCGAACATCACCTCGCCCCCGACTCTCTACCTCCTACTACCTAGGGAAATCAGAAAACATGGGTTTCCTCTGGAGCTCAAGAAATGATAAAAATTCGCGTCCACCAGTTCCAACAGACAAAAAACTCAAGAGCTCGAACAAATCAGTGCAGCAGGCAGCCAAATCTAAGGAGAACACTAAGCACGCAACGGCGGGTGCCAGTGGTGGTGAACAGAAGGGAGATCGTAGTACTAATGGTACAGATGCCAGTCGTAACAGCTTTTATGAAAATAATAGCACTGAAAACAAAGGTAAGAGCTGTTATTCTAGTTACGACACTAGTGAACACCCCGGTAATGAGGAGCGGAACTGCTACGAAGCTAGAGCCCATGAGCGAGGGAAGCAGGAAAGGGCAAAAGAGGCGAGAAGGAAGCAGATGGGATACGGTAGCGAGAGTTCTAGAAGTTGGTCTGGGTAAGAATCATAAGTACGATAATGGACGTTGAGTATTGTAATCAAAGGTGTGGGAGGGAGCAACGATTATTGAACAGTGTCGGATAGTGATTACATGATGTATCTAGCGTCGAGGGTCGAGCCGGACTAGGCAGATTTGAACGATTGGAGGAATATATGCATGGCTTTTTAAGATCCGACTTGCAGAACTGTGATGCAACGCAACGTGAACAAGGAACCCTCTCGATCATATACAATGAGTACACAAAAGGTGCATTCTTTCTTTCACGTTCCAGACTCAATCACCAACCATTGCATATCATGACTTATCCGCCAACAATAAAGAACATGAATCATGATTTAGCACATCATGATTCATCCCCCACAAACTATCACATACCTATGCAATGTCGACCCTCTATCCTCGGCATGAACGCGAGTAAGACATGTGATTACGATAATATGTGAGATGTATTCCATACAAGTAGATGGCATGACACGAGTGAGTACATACTCAGCCATGGCCTGCAGATTGAGGTATGGTTCGCATTGGGGATCGTCAAATACATGCGATTATACGGTATAGTGTTGTGTATGATGGGAGCTTGTTCTCCGTGTGAATGTATTGACATTTTTATAGAGGAATGATTTTACGGGATAAATGCGTTGATGCTATATCATCCAGTCCAGAGATGGAGGAGGTGTGAAGACTCATTATCAATTTAGCATTAATTGACTGAGAGTGATTTCGTAAAAATTGTAGTCAAGAGATCTCAAGTCAAAATCTATCTCTATATCGAGTTTTCCGTGAGCTTAGAAGTTCAAGCTGGCTACACATTCATTCTTCAGAGTGATTGTGTAGTTCATAGTATAGCAAAATTTTAACGTCATGCCATGCCATGCTATGCCATCGACCCCAAAACACACTCTTGAAAAATACAACAAGTGCAATACAGGCACTAAGCCCCTCCAAACTCATCGACAGTATATAGTCTCCTCAAACATCCAAACTACTCATCATCAACGAAAATCAGATTCATTTTAACTATTGTTATTACACATAAATATACATACCTACACATAAACACCTCCCAATTTCCTCATTTCTCAAGTCCAAAATGCACTTACCTCGATCTCAATCTTAGTCTCAGCCTCCGTTCATAACCACCATTACCAACACCATTATCATCATCGTCACTATCGACATCACCAACGCCAAAACCCAATCTTCCATCTTTCCCTTGTCTCCCCTCAATCACCAATCCCCAATTCCCAATCCCCAATCCCCAATTCCCAATCCCCAATTCCCAATTCCCAGTTCCCATCTTCCCAATATCCAATCCCCAACCCCCCAATCCCCCAACTCCCGACAAACAACCGCCTGCACACCCCAACGCACAGCTCAAGCAACGATCTTCCCATTTCCCCTCATCCAAACCCCAACCCAAACTCAACCCACCACGCACAAATCACCTACCGAATGATCCGGTACCTATCGGGCCCCATCCATCCATCCTATCCTATCCCATGCCACCACACCACACCACACCAACAAGCAAATCCCATGCACAGTACCGCACACCATCGCACAGCACGGTACATCACATCACATCACATCACCACACCGCACCTGCCCACGAGCTATCCGAGCAGAGAGTTCGCGCTCCACGAACGACGACGGCAGTGCAGATCGTGGGGATCCTGGAGATCCGTTACTACACTACACTATAATATACTATGTATGCACAGCGCAGCCTGCGAATGCCGCGATGGATGGATGGGGGATTTTGAGAATGCGGATGCGGATGCAGCAGATAACGATGAATCGTGATGGAAGATTCAAATCAAGTGTACAAGCGCAGTACGCGGATATGTTGAAAATCAAAGTAAGTGAATAGATGAACAAATGGTCAATTAAAAAATGGGGGTGGATAATTTAGATTGATGTTTGATAGTCAGGCATGGCCATGAATGACTACGAGTGTGGAAGTTGGATATCCATCCCCTTCTCATTGATGCATCGATTGCTCCATGACGCAAACTTTAGAGGGCCGATATTGGATTCAAGATAGCAGTGAAATCCGTCAAGGCCAAATCGTATCATTTAACCTCATGCCACAGCGATCATGTAACCATCCATTTATCCCAACCCACCGCTACTCCCTCAAAGCCAACCTTCGTCCGTACCGTACACAAGACTTTGTAAACCATCTCCAGTCATACCGCTGCATAAGCGACGCCACATCTTTTTACAAAATTACACCTCAGTATTGAGGCTGTTGGTATGCGTACTAAGTGGGAACTCATCGCCAAATCCATGTTTAGTAGACAGACAAGAAAGCATTTGCGAAAAATTTCCCCACACAATTAAAATAGTCCAGATTTACGCAAACGAATGCCTTTACTTGACACCTAGTGAAGGTTTAAGTTGTGTCCCGGAAGTACTATTGTATTTCCGTGATGAGTTGTTAAAATTTTATATGACAGCAAGCTCAGTTCTAACTCATCTCCCCGTGTTATGGTGAGACTCTGATTTTGGTGTCAGTGGTGGGATCCCCATTTTCATCTGAAGATCTACCTCAGATCAACTGGTATTTGGAATTGCATGATTGAGTCGTTTCTTTTGTGGTTACTGATCAAGCTGACACCACTTTGAATTCAGCGACTGTGAGGATAACACAGAGAAAGTGGACTGATCTTTTGGTTTCTAAGTATCTGTATACAGCTGTCTTATGAGTTATGACAATACCATTAGGCACAAGGATATCCCCCTCATTGATGAAATGAAGAAGCAAATATATGAAATTTACTCAATTTAAAGCATCTCATGAAATCGGCGATATGGATTCATTGCCGTGAACCATAGTGGAGGACTTCGACTCTTGCTGATCAATCTCTGGGGACGAAGACCTATGATTTGTAGATCTTTAGGCTGTCAATATAACCCTCAAGGCGGTGTACAGATCTGTACGGTGTATAATTGTAACAATATCATGAAATGTTGAATCGTCCACCTCAGCGAGGGTTATGATATATGGCTTGATGCGAGCCGCCTCACGCGACGTAAAATACTCTAGAAGAAACGAGGCTCCTTCAATCTTCGAGATCCACGTGGAGATTTCGAGACCAAACGCGACTGAGTGCTAGTCAGGACCGCATCTCCAACCAAAGCTCACAACAGAAGCCGCATTGCGGTAATGCTTCCTATACAAAAGAGTATAGGATGTTCCCTTCATTTGCAAATCCATTTTGAAAATCTGGACACGAGTAGCGCGGCATGGTGAGACAAAAACTTAAAATCGAAATTTTCAGGGATTTACCCAGTCTCGACATTGAAGCGAGTATTTGAAGCATCAATAGGCGCATAAGTGGGATGGAAGCCCTTTAGTGGAGTGAAACACGCCCATGATCTACCCCAAAGGAATTTGATGTGTGAACTGTTCAGCAGAAGGGGGAAGACGTGGTATGCGCCACCGACTGGCAAAAGCTCTTCGACTGCGGGAAAAAACTTAAGAATATGACATCTTCCCGTTCATTAGTTCTGATGCTAAATGCACTGATGTAACTATAGGCAAGGATGAGTAGTCAACTTTGGCTACTCCTTTGCCAGTGCTTCTTCAACCTCTTCCCGATTGGACATATCTGCTGAGTATAAATGTGCCCGAACCAGAAATGCCACGAGGTGTAAAGGCGCTAGAATAAGGATCCTACCTCGTAAATGCTGCACATAATCAAATATAGCACCTAAACCAAAAAGAGTGTTTTCGGGACGGTTGATATACGTTAATCACTGTTTGCGGCGCAGCAATTTCAGCCCAATGATTACTTTTGATTCGGTGCCCCAAGAGTATGAATCGGAAAGTATCTAGCGCATGAAACGAAGTTCTCTCAACGCATTGGCCACGTCGTATGCATTCTTGTGCCCTGCAGAATTGCATCGATCCGAATATGCCCTAGGTAGATGAGGGCAGGAGGGTAGGTTAGCCTATGCAACAAGCGGAACAACGGCGTAATTAGCATAGCTGGTATTGAAAAATCAAAGAGATTAAACCTTATTAGGGTAGCACTGCATAACGTGCGGAACAGTTTCTCTTGGGCCCAACGTCGTAGCTGAATAAATGAGATCAATCAATCTAACCATTATTCAAAACCGAGAAGAAAATTTAGTGAAGCATAAGAGGACAATGCAACGTCATCTATTGAAACTTCCTATAGAAGAACAATGGAATATGGAAGCGACAAGGATCCCATCTGCCATGCCCAAGCACTTTGGTTACTTGGCTTGGTAACCTATTCGAAGCGGGATATCTCCTCAGGTTCCGATCGGTCTGACCGGTTTCTTACTTGTTCCGCTTTCTCTCGCCTTGCTTTGATGTTGCATGATGATGAGTCTTGAGTCCATAAAGACCCCACAGCATCCGAAGTCTCCGATATGAGGGTGAAACATTCATGTCCTTGTTCTAGAAGGTGTTGATGAAGCTTCTAGCGTCTTAGTATCATGGTTAATACGGGTTCAATGTTATATTTAAAGTACTCGTGCGGCCAGAAAGTGTGCAAATCCGAAGCTAGATGCACATACCACAAGATGATAAACTACGACAGGAGTAACCTGGCTTTCGAAGCGGTAGAGTTGCATACCTACTTTGTGGCAGTACGAGTAATGACTGTCAAAAAAGATTGCTGCAAGCCATGTGGTGGCATATCCTTGAATCTTGACGAATCGTTGCGTTCCCAATCTTCTATTCCTGGTCAGATTGGAAGTCTGAAGTGCTAGGAAAGCGTAATGTTCCGTTTCTGGAACGTTAGCGGTTAGCAATGAGAAAGCTAGATACCTTCCCACTCTTTCCCTTGACATTGTGAGCGCTTGAACGTGTAGTTCATCAATCAGGCTATCATCCAGCGCAAGTTACATACTAGGGAGGTTAAGATACAGAAAGCTAAAAACATAGAAGAATAATGGAATAACTTACTGCACGTACCGTAATCAATTTGACATCAACGACCACATATCTCGATGATTCAAACGTCTATCCCCTTCTGACCAAGATCCTTGAAAGACTTTTGATTTCTCCGAAAAATCAATCATCATTTTCGGACATCATATCCCTTACTAGAAACTTGGAAAAGGGCGATAGTCCAAACGGTACTTGTTGCAGTGTAGTGTTTTCGGTAGTAGAGGAAGATTATATGGCAAAGACAACGCATGGATAATAAAGCGACCCGGTCTTTCACCCAGCGAATCCAATGCCATGGCCTTTGGTAACATGGAAATTAGATCTGACGACTTGACAAGGTTCGCACGTTTTATTAACAGAAAATAACATGGTTCCATGGTCATTATGATGAAGCGCCCTTGGAACAGTGAGGTAGGTGGGGTCACTTTGCAGCGAAGGATTGAAAAAGCTGTGATACTTATGAGTCCTAAGCACAAACTTAGCCAAATGCGAGATACTCCCCGGGGGTAAATGAACTTAGCTCTTGTCCGAGGCCCAGCTGCCAATTACCAATGGAATTGGATGTGACAAACCTACAAGGAAGAGACCGACGGAACGAGGCAGACAGGGGAAACGGGGCATTATCAACTTGAGCAAGTTAAGGTATCCATTTTGACGGGGGAGGAACGAGAGAGAGGATACTAATCCCAAATCTTTGGGCAGAATTCCGGTACTTGCGTTGGTAGATAGACAGCGTGTGTATTGCCAAAGTCTGGTAGAGATGGGGATTTTAGCACAGTATTGATAAAAGGAAATTTCGACGGCGGTGACTTTTGACCAAGACATTTGTCGGCTTTCTAGATGAAAAGAATCTCTTGAAACCTTCTAGAAGTTTTTGATAAGCTAGCTGACTGCATGGATATGTAGGTTTGTACCAAACTCCCCCTCAAAGGAATAAACACTGTAACCGAGATGGCAGTGGCTACTTCCTTTGATGACCCCTTACAATTCAATAAGAGTGCATGGAAAGAAGATGTAGGATTTCCCTATCACGCCACTAGTTTATGAAGAGGTTTCCATGTGCCGTATATGTTGAAATTACAATATCTCAATGCATTGCATCATATTGGATATTGGTACTGCCTGTGTACACATCACCCTTTCATTGCCCCTAAAAGCAGCTAATCGCCTTCACCTTGATAACTTTTCCCCGACAGTGTATACGTCAACTTCTCCAGGATTGTCCCCCTTTATCTACTGCATAATCTCTGATGATATATGATGCAAGCTAGAGTGTACATTGCACATTGCAAAGGGCATTTGATCTTCAGATCCTTTGATAAAATGCTGTTTGGACCTTTGATCCGACTTAAGAAGCGTCCTCTACGCTC